TCTGCACTGCCCTTGGTGGGGATCAGCTAGTCGTTCAAAATTCAACTGCCTAGGAAGTTGTATCAGCGCCCGTGGGATTGATGATGAAATCATGAAGCGTATAGCAAAAATTCGAAGTGCTTTTGCTTATCTTCACCACCTATGGTGCCGGCGCGACATCACTCTCACCCTGAAGGGTTAGGTGTACAATACAGCAGTGCATTCGACCCTGCTGTACGGCTGCGAAACCATATCCTTTAGATCAGCAGACATAAATTGGCTAGTTACGTTCGACCAGTGGTACCTTCGCAGTTTGGCTCACATGTGGTGGGAACACCGCATATGCAACGAGTGTGTTCGGCGCCTTGTTTACGGCATAGGAAGGGGAACTGAACCGTTCAGCACCGGTATTTCACGCACCAGGCTTCGATGGCTCGGTCACGTTTTGTGCATGCCAGCCCACCGACTCCTGCGATATGCGTTGTTTGCGCGCTCAGGGTGTGGATGAAAGAAGAAGAAAGGTAGCCGAGCGATGACTTGGTCGAGAGAAGTGAAGGCCCTCACTTCGAAGCTGACCTCAGTTGGAGCCTCTTGGCTCCCTGGTTGGGGTCCGAAAAATGATGAACACGTTTGGCTAGATACACTTGTTTATATGGTTGGGAGCCGACCTCAGTGGCGTTCGTGCTGTGAGTTTCTTTGTCCCACCCCATCCCTCTTAACCTCCCCCTTCAACCAAGATCTCATTATTTGGCATTTTGTAATTTTGCATGGGAAATTACTTTTTCGGTGCATGGTAGCCGGCTGGTAGCTTACCGGAACGATGCCCATCCGTTACCGGTAGCTCAGCTGGCTTGCACCTGTTGCATTTTATTCCCTTTTATTTATGTATTGCGGCACAGTAGCTGAGCTGTTTCTCACCTCTAGCTAACGTGTATAGTGTGTGTGTGTGTGTGTTATCATAACGTATTGTGGCAGGACGTGTTAAGTACGCAGGTGCATTGTCCCTTCACTAATCAGTGTACAGTTTGCGGTGATGTTGAGGAAAACACTCATTTTCGGATTCGACCAAGAATCACTGCAGTAGCACACTTCACTCATCCTGCCTAATACGCAAACACATTACATATACATTACTTGATCTGAATAGATCATACTTGTAACAACTAGACAACGTACAACAACGAAACAGACTATGAGTGGTTCCAGTTTGACAAGTGGCAACAGGCGCAGAAACGGTGTAAATCATACCGCCGCAGATCGACGCGATATTTCTCCCTAGTTGTTTCTCCATTTTATTTCGACTCAAGTTCCGCATCACATCCCCCACTAAGGAAGCTGAATTGTGATATACCTGGATTTTTCCAAGGCTTTCGATCATCTAGTCCATTGGATACTACTCTCCAAGTTCCAGCATTACGGGATCGATGACCTTCTTTTAAGTTGGATTGCCAACTTTCTACTTCAACGGCAATTAGTGGTCAGAGTACGTGGCTCTTTATCGGACTCCATGCAAGTAGAGTGTGGTGTGCCGCAAGGCTCGGTTCTAGGTCCACGTTTGTTTTTGGTGTTTATTAATGACCTTGCACAGGGAATCGCTTCAACTTCCTAATGTTTGCCGACGATCTGGCGCGGGATCCAGGCGCACGCCGACCAGCATCTGCTTCTGAGTGACCTAGATACAGTAATCAATTGTCAACCCAAAACTCACTGCATTTCAACGTCAGTAAATGAAAGGTGCTTTCCATCCGACATCAGGGCAGCTACTCATACCGGCTCTGGACGAATATACTACAACGTTCAACTCTCGAACATGACTTATGTGTCCTGGTTCAAGATGATTTGGGTTGCTCCAGGCAATCCGAAAAGGCCTCGAAGACTGGGAACCAACACGTCGGGCTGTTGCGACGGGCGTTTTGACTAATAAACTGCTCCATATTTCGACAAGTGCTCAGTGCGTATGTTCACCTCCATGTCGAATATGCAATTCAAGCCTGGCATCCATGACTGAAACACGACCTTAATGCACTGGAGCAGCCACAACGTCGGGCATCTAAGAACGTAATTGGAATGCGCAATCTTTCTTACCAGGAGAGGCTGCAACGATTGGGGGTGTTCAGTGGAAGTTATCGCAGACTACGAGGCGACCTGATTATGGCATACTTGATTCTGCGAGACCCAGATCATGTGTGCCGCCCTTTACTGCAACTCAGCAGCAATACAAACCTGAGGGGCCACTCATTAAAACTCGCAGAACAATACAGTCGTCTGGAGTGCGGCAGAAGTTTCTTTTCAATTTGAGTCTGTCACTCGTGGAATGCTCTCGCAGAATCGGTCGTCTCTGCACCGACACTAACAATATTTAAAAGACGGTCATCCACTTAAACTTTATCGTCTAGCACTACGTCCCCACCCTACATCTGGAGTTCACCATGGAATTATTTGCTGTTAACTGTGGGTGCTGTGAATCAAAGCGGATCGCGGGACTACAGCGGAGCAAACCATAAGTTTTTATTTTCATGTTTGAAGTATTAACTATTTTACTATCCTTATCATCATTATTATTATGTCGAGATCCCCACAAATTATCCAACGGGACTTGTAAAGCAGTGCTTCTTAACCTGTATAGATTCATTGTTCATTGTTCATATTGGTTTCGGACTCAGCCTTACTGTTCGGTTTTACTCAGACCTGATCAAAGATGTATCATCCTTGAGTAGCCTGTCTTCCGGTTGCCGATCATTGCCTGGTTCGCTTAGGTATCTATGACCCGGTCTATCTGTGCATGCTGCTTCCTGAATACATAACTAACCAAATTGGGTACCCGCTTTGCTTTTGCTAACGATTAGTATCGGACGGACCAGGTCAGAAGATGCTCTCAGTGAACTCAGCCCAGACAGGGTTGACTCCTAAACGGCCGGCATCACCCCTGATGTGTTCTGGTTCCCAGATCTTAGAGGACGTTGGATTTTTATAGGCAAGCGCGCGTACACTAAGAGGCAAGAATCAGAGATCGATTTCGATGGTCATGGGCTCGTCGACCGATTTAAGCTCGGACTAGTGGCTAGAAGATCGATCACTCACACTCACTGACACTTCGTACGCGCCGCTCTGAAAACTAAACGTGCACTGATGATGTCACCTCGAGTGGTGATGAAATGTTTGCAGTCAAACTGCTGAGCTCAGCAAACACTCAGTCCACCAACAGTCACCATTATTAGGGGAGCACATTTTTTGTCTGCTCTAAACCTCAAATCCGGTAATATATGTTGCGTGGATGTCATTACCGGGTATCTCTCCCCTTGCCGATTCCACATGAGTCAACATGCTTACAAGTGTTCCATGAGTTGACGAATGTTCAGCAACCGGCAGAATCAAAGTAGCTGGGGGCTATTTGCAGCAGGTTCTAAATCAGCTAGTCCTCCATATACCCAGAGAAGCACTATACGGCCGTTTCGCCCATTGGGACTCATTAATAGGGCACACCCATCGTCTCTATCGGGATCCGCAATGATCACTAACGGCTTGCGTCGCTGTCCACCAGCTTTGGCCACTAAGCCGGTGCCCCCCACGACCGTCTTTTCCGGACATGTGGAGGGCTGCCTTGAAAGTCGTTACGAAGAATCCTCGACTGTTTACTTCGAAAATCCCATATTCATGAGTGCAACGAAATTCCTGACCCGGACTGTGGATAACTGCTACATCAAGTGCACTTTTCTCATTAGTGTTGCATGCGGTATGCACTTTCTCCGTTCGTTTGATACAGGCCACGCGAACTGCATGTGCTATGTTGCAGTTAACATAGCGGTCTTATTGCTATAACCATCGAGTATTACTAAAGCCTATACTACCGGCTCATATCGCCCTGTGCTAGGTAGCGCATGTGCACACGACATTAGAAACTGGGACATGACGTTGTTAGAGCTGTAACGCCATTTCCCCCACTTTTGTACATATGTGTGCAGGTATAGTTTGTACCCAATCGAACTCCAGTGGGTACTAACCAACTAGGCTATCAACAGAATTTAAGCTGCCAGTTATCCATTGCTAATCGAGCAATGGAAGCTAGCTTTCACTAGATCACCTTTCCAGTCCAAGTGGTGCACAGTCACATTAAACTCAAGTATACGCATAGTGGATTTTTCTCGCCGTGAGATCACCAACTAAACAAGCCCAGCTGCCTCTTTCGAACAACGATACAACATCCTTCATAAGTCTAAGATCTTCTTTCCTCATTTCATTTTGGGCCGTCTATACATAAATTTAGCTGGGAACAGTGGAACCATCAGCTAGACAGAAATGTACGCAGATTGTTTGATCCATACAGTAAACCGTCACACTTACAGTTCGCAGCACATCACTCAAGTAGGCTACAGTGACTGTCGGAATGTTCCTTTGCTTTGCCTGCACAGATCACCAGTTTACACTCATAACTCAGCTTGTTTTTCTCACCGCTGTAAACGAATACTTCAGTATGACCAGTTTTCTTGATGGACACGATGCTCATTTTAGCATACCAGACGATGTCTTAAATTTCGTATGCTTCATGTAAGTTCGCTACTTTCTCATCCCCCCCCACCGTTATTGATCTCAGGTAGTTTGTGTACTGGACTCGCTGTCGTTTTCGTTCACTTCTCACAAGCTCATATACCGCACACTATCCTTACTGCTCGTCACGGGTTACGAAAGCAATCCAAGTTGTGGACCCCTCGTCTACTTCTCTTACTCTGTAATCCATGCTTGATACCATTTTGATAACAGAACCTAGGTGATCCGGAATCGGACTCCTCCCGGAACTTACTCCTTGCAAGATTAGCTAATGTTACCAGTGCACAAGCTTAATACAGTGCTTACGTTGTTTTTACTGGCATAATTTCACATTTACTGTCAATCTAAATGGCCAATTCATAGTTGAATTTGTATACCACACAGACCAGGTTATCGTACACCTAATCATCGTCAATGAACATGAAAGGCTTGAAAACGAACGTTTTCTCGATTCCTTAATGGACTAAGGAGCATACCTGGAAGTCGTGATATCTGCATCTGTATCATGTTCGGTGATCCACACACAGACTGCCGGCACAGTTCTCTCCTCCGAATCCTCTAATCCCCGAATGCACCAGAATGGAGTGACGTTTTTGTCGAGACCACTTCCTTCGGAAATAGTACGATCAAATCCAGCAACCGAGCTGGACTGATCTAAGCCATCCAGTCTATCTTCTCCAGACATGTCAATAATCTCGATGGTTTCAGTGGAAGTATTCTCGGACATATGAGTTACTACCTGCCGATCCATTTGAACGTCGGAGATGGTTGAACTTGGTTCCAGTGAGTTAGACAGGGTATCAAATGGGACAACATTTCGCAAAACTACAATTTGGTCCCCCGCGCGGTAATTTATGTCACCCACATCGTAATCACATAGCATGACGCCTCTGACTTCCTTCGCAAGTGGTTGGGTCCGCATGTAGATAGGCACGACTGACTTTGCCTGTGAATTTAGATACATCATTTCACTTGTTTGCTGCCTGAATTCTTCGAAGGATTGCTGAAACGACGCAGGAATAGTAACATTGTAATTCAGGTGAGTAAGGGGAAGCACTTAGGCAGCATCGTATGCAACGACAAACCGGGACGCCGTCAAATCTAAAGTAAATCCGAGCGAGACAATAAGAAGCTAAGTACTGTGGGATGGCACATATGTATGAATCATTTGAGAAAAAATCAAACCCCCTGAACTTTGAGAGAGGAAAGACACGTGGTTAAGCTCATGCAAACAGTATTGTTTCACAACTTATGGGAACACAACAATACCCTTTGGTGATAAACGACCAGCTGTCATTGGGTTCATACAATTCATTTCCGTTCAACAACATCAAAAGCACAAGGAGGAACAACAATGCAGCAGGATAACTCAAATTTCATTTCTTTGGAGTATTCACAGGCGGTCAGATGTAGTGCAACCAACCAATGACACTCCACCTGAACCAACATATCCATCGTCTAAAGTGATCCATGACGAGGCGTATAAACCCCCTAATCAGAGTAGACTTTCGGAGATGACGATGAAGATGAATCAAAGGACATATACAGGTTCTCTGCTTCCTTTCAAACAGCGGCAACAATCATTCCCTTATTCCACAAGCTTCCTCATGGACATCGACTATCTTTTGTTTTGCAATTTTTACGTCTAAACTTTCACAAGTGGTTCTACAGGCCACTTCGCTATTGTCTTCCAATAACTTCCATCTTCTACTTTATAATCACTTGCGTATCTGATTTCATTGTTTGCCTGCGTGCTACTCGTGTATTTATGCACGGCTGTTTTTTCCCTGCCGTTTTTCAGCTGCATTTTATCGCACACCTCTAAGTCTATACTTATTCGTCTTGCTTTTACAAGCGCTCCCTCATGCTACCACTTTCTCGAGTACACTCTAGTGCATTCTACATGTACCCTGAATTGTAAATTCTGGTCAGTGTTTCGCCGATACCCAAGTGCCAACAGTTGCGTAACTCTAAGCATCAGAGAGATTGTTTGATTTCATACTAAAGAACTTTTCAGCAGCTTTCAAAGAATTTGCACTCATTCAAATCCAGCCACTTTTGGAGCAGCTACACGGTAATATACCCCTCTACACAGCGAACCCCTCCCTATAAGTTCACCTTGGGGAGATTCTTAGGCCAAACCACGAAACTGCTCTACCAAACCCTCGTGAGATCTGCCTCACGAGCTCTCTGACGCATTCGATCAGCACGCCAGAGAAGACAGTTTGCAAGCACACAAGTACAAAGTGAACTCTGTGAGCTTGGAGTTGTCAAAACATGAGAACAACTGCTAACCATCAAAAATGTGTCACACTAATGGTTCGTAACACTCGCTCAACGAACGCGATGCGTAGCATGCATTCGGCTAAAAACATATGGGTCATGTGCCAAACTTGTCAAAGTATTTATACCGTCTCGCAACTGTTGCATGCTTTGCCGTGCGAAATGCGTCCGTGTGAAAGCTAGCGATGCCAATTTATTAAACAAGCCAGATTATTTCTGATTCTGTGTGGAATGCACGTCAACACCACTGCTAAAATGCTTGCTCCTCTTATCTCAGAGGTACGGGTAGCTACTAGACAAGTTCGAGGAAATAGTGACCACAAAATTCACCACAATTGGGGTAAGCATAGCGGACTGTGCAATCCAGGCATCCTCAGTAAGTGTTGCTCTAATCCCGAGGAGGGCGGCTGGTAACACCGTAAACAAAACGATACAAATAGCCCAGAAAATCAGTTACTGTTCTAATACCACAGGTGACTCACATTCTACTAATGCGGTCCTCCATTCGATCGGAATAAACGCACGCAAGGATTTGTCCAATCTCCCGACTAACTACATAACAGTAAAACAAATCGGTATTGGTGTAAGTTAGATTACGGAGCTTCCAAGAAGAGCCGAGAGATAACCATAGCAACACTCCCCTCTGGATTGGAAACTGAGGAGCGAAGCGTTCTGCTGGTGAATTCACCACCGGTTTACTGCAATACATCGCCGAATATTTCAAGCGCTAACAGAAAGATTCTAAGAAACAACCTGTACTGAGCGTACTGTGCCTCCATGTTTCAGAGTCAAAATCGACATCGATTAGAGGTATGCAGTCGGACGACCTTAGCCAGTGGGGCTCCATTAGTGACCTTGTCAGAGCTGTATTGAAACCTGTATATGTAGTGCAAATCACGCGACAACCCAACTCGAATCCCTACGAGGCACCAATACTTCTGTGCATTATTAGAGATAGTTCAGCACAGTTCACTCTCAGTCAGCAGGCTTTAGCATGCCTGCGCGTTATGTTGGACTCCATCACCGAAATAAGATCAGTTCTGCTGTTAACAGGTCGACCCAGAAATGAACGCTGCTCTATCAGTATATTTACAGACATCCCATGAAGTGAGCGTTACGGAATTAACCACAGCTTAGAAGACCACCGGAAGGAAACATTAACATACATCATTGTTTCATTGTACTATTAGTGCAACTTCAGCTGTTTGCAGGTAACAAGTGATCAATACCAAGTGCCATTGTGTCCATTGGGAAAATCAAGCACCCTACCAAAACCGAGCAAGACCACACACAAGGACGAATTGTTTGGATACATTGCGCTTCGGGCGTCGGATATCGAAAGCCACAATGAAATGGAACAGTTCCCGACTATTTTGTTTGCTAATAACCTTGAATGCCTGGCGGTGGCTTTGAAATATCGCGCAGTCGAACAGATGCTGGATGACTGAGTTAACAGGTCATCTAGCACCAGTTAAATTTCACAAGCTTTTGTATAACTGTCGTTGATAGAACAAGGAGGGGTTGGTCGAAACACTGCACCGATCTCCTACGGATGCAGAGAATGAACCCATATTTTCTTGTGATTTACAAAGACAGCAACAGCACCACTATATCAGCCACTTGAACTGATGCTTCCCTGCCATACAACCATGATGACCAATGGAACAAAGGATATTAAAAGGGAGAGAAGAGGGACTTACCGGAAAACCTTAATGGCCTAAGCAAACATTCGGGGTCAAGGCGCCTACACTTTGTCTTAACAACTTACCGTCACAAAAAGCTGGCTATCATGTAAAGATAAGGCGGCTTCGGCGAGACAGCTTCCTTGTGGCTTTCACTTCCCCGCGTCATAATCAGCCATTACCCAGCAGATAACTCAGCACCACGCACACTTTAAACAGGCAGTCCGACTAGGAGACGGCAGCATACGTACCACTGGTGGCGGTTGCGAGCCATGTCCTGTAAAGTCTCAGGCCAAGCACAAGGCGGGCCACGTGGACTCCAGCCCGGAAGGCGAGACGGACCTACGGCATCCAGTTTGGTTGTCAGTGATTTCAGTTCACGCTGTCAAGTCAACTCTCGTCCGCCTCCAGCCTTGCGCCACCCTACATCTGGCAGACTAAACAAGGCCCTCCTAGGTAAGCGGTGACCAGGTATACGTAGTACGTGCCCAAGGCAGCGCAACTTCTTCAGTGTTATCTGTTTTTCAAAGCAACTAGCCTGGTTATTCCTGCCTAGCGCTCGCCTGCGCACCTCCTCGTTGCGGACACGCTGGGGCCATCCGAAATCAGCAATGCTCCGCAGACAACGATGGTCGGACACTTAAATGCGTCTCAAGCCTTCAAAGCGAAAGGGCCAAATCTCACTCCCATAAAACAGAACGGCCCTCAATGTGGCCTTGTATACACAGCCCTCCAGACGGAGGTGAATTCTCTTCTGTCGCCAAAAATGCCGCAGGTCCAAGAAGGAAACTCTGCCCTTTGCAATGCGTGAACTGACGTCAGTTTCTATGCGCCCATCGTTGTCGATGCAACTACCAAGGCAAGTGAATGGTGCATTCACCTTGAGTTCCTCGTTATCACGGGTCAAGGGGTCATTAAATGGCTTGTGGTCTTGCAACAACACTTTGAACTTTGCAGGTGTGAAGCGAATACCATATAATGAGACCACTCTAGAGAGGCTATTCAAAGTTGATTGTGCCACCGCAACATCGTCGGAAAGCAAGACGACATCGTCCGCATAACCAAGATCAACTAGCCTTTCATCAGGCAGGACCTCGACGCCTACATCGTGAGATTCCGTGAGGGAGCACTCCATGGTAGAGTCCACAAAGGAACTTAACAAAAACGGGAAAATCGGACAACCCTGGCAAACGCCACTTGTTGTCGGAAAGGTATCCGATAGGTCATCGTAGACTCTAACGCGGCCAGTAGTGTTCAAGTACAGAGCACATATTTCGTGGGAACACCTTTCCGCGCAAGTAGTTCGAAAAGAATGCGTCGTCCTACTGAATTGCACCCACGCTTGAAGTCGAGGAACACATCTGTTGTTAGTCTGCGGTATGCGTGGCGCTGCTCTAGAACCTGCCGCAGAGTAAATATTTAGTCAATACAGCCACGTCCTGGGCGAAAGTCTGCCTGATCTTCCCTAGTCCGTGCTTCTCGCTCAGCATTGGGGCGACGAACGAGAATGTTTGTGTTCCGGACCTCAGCCTTTAATGGAGGCTCTAAACTAACCGTCCATGACTTGTCCTGCATCTCTTGAGTGAGAAAAGGTCCGAGAGCAGGTGACCAACCGAACTGCTCTTGAAAGGGTTCCACCCAGCGAGCCATACGGCGCTCTTTGTTGTGCATCAGCGCACCCGTGCTGTCTCTGATTGTCTCACTGATGCCTGGTTTCCTGGGACCAATGGTGCGGATCAGCTGGAAGAGCTTGCGGTAATTACCTACTGCTCCTGTCTCATCCATTTCTTGAGCCTGACTGGCTCACCAGGCCTCCTTGTCAGTACGAAAGCTTTGCTTTAGTTCGCGCCTAATAGTCCGTCTGGTCATATTGTGTTCAGGACCAGCTGGGAGATTTCCTCTGGATTCCAACAGGTTCACCGACCTCTCGAATATCCGGTGACTGGTGCGGTGACGATTGATAGCGCCCTAAGCAGATGCTCCTGCGTCGTTCATGGCAGCCGAGATCATATTCCTCTGAAGCTCAATATCATTTGAA